TTTTTTTCTTCTATTCTTGGCTTTCACCTACGTCACCGTAAATTTTCCCGGGACTCACATTAAACAAGACTTCCATAGGCCGAAAGAATAACCAGAACTCTATATATCTCAGCCAAAGTTCGAGTTAAAAGAAGTTCACACGCGCGAGCAGAGTAGTGTTTCACTATCCCTTCAAAACAGTGAAATATTTACACCTGTTTTGGCATTATCACAATACGGTCAACACTATCGAGCATTTCCTCAACCAAATTAATGAAATATTGACAGCGATGTTAATCAAAATATGCTGGACTCAAGGCTTGCGTAAAAAGTGTTTACTTAAATGTATTTATTAGCTAATAATTTTTTTCTGTCGCTAACGAAATCCGCCAGCACATAAGCAAGTTATTCAAGTGATTACCCAACTGTGTGAGTGCCTAGTTTTCTGATAACTATATTTTAGCTGGTTTGTTTAGCTCTGTAGAGTTATCGTTATGAAAAACTTTCCTATCATTTTCTTGTTTTCCATCGTCTTTTCATTTCGAAACCTGCTTTTCCTACGCTTTTATTTAAAAAACAATGAAATATCAAAAGTCGCCCTGACGGACTCCACAAAATTCTACAGACTTGAAAAAATATCCAACCTCATTGGAACTACCGAAAACTCTTAAGAGCCACCTAAAAATGCCGTTTTGTTTTCTCAATTGACTATTCTTATTATAGTTTTATCGTACCTTCAACAATCCTTTAAAAAKTTTCAAAAATTATTCTAGAATTGGCAGGATTTTTTCTCTTTTTAGAGGGGGGGGGGGAACCGTCGTTTTGTTTAAACTGAGAAATTTTCTTAAACAATTCTCTTAGGTTTCTGCTTCGTATTCTTACCTTGAACTTAAATACTCCAGATATTCGAGTTTTTTTGTTGCTCAGGGTTAGCCTTGATATTGCGTAGAATATTCATGTGTTCCAGTGAAGGTCCGTGGAATTTCACAGTGTTTGTATTGCTGAAGTTGTGCATTCGTTACTTTATCACTTGTATTTGTGAATATTTAGACGTACACTGAAACGAGGCTTATCCTGAGTAAACGAGTCTGTAATCAAGGAACACAGCGGTAACTTGAAACTCCAAAGGGGTCTATTAAACCTCACGTACGCACGCGGAGTTGACTTCCGTCAGGGCGCTCAGTATACCTTAGTTTGATTGCACCTGTAATCGACTTTTTACGATATTTTTTCCCGTTTTTACTGTGAATTAAATAATATGGCTTTTTTTATATGTGCTTTGATTTAAAAAACGAAGGAAATAACTTCAAAGCAAGAATATTATCAAATCGATTCAAGCTATAGCATCTCAGCATGAAGTTGGACAATGTTTGCTAATTGGACAAAAGACTGATTAAAAATTCCTGACCTTGAATGATTTAATCAACGTATATTCAGTTCAATTAGCTACAGCTTTCGTGTTTTAGTGATAACTTTAATCTAAGCCAAAGACATGTCTCGTTGCTTGAAGCCACCAGATATCCAGTTTTTCTTCCCATGCAAACCTTAACACGCTGAATTCCAGTGTGATCTTTGAGTTAGACATGCCCTGACTTTGATTAACCCAGTGGTTGTTTAAGGCTCGATCTGTAAATTAGCATGCCCTGACTTTGGTCAGCCCAGAGGTTGTTTCAGAGTTCAATCTGTAAGTTAACCATGCCCTGACTTTGGTCAGCCCAGAGGTTGTTTCAGAGTTCAATCTGTGAGTTAGCCATGCCCTGACTTTGATCAACACAGAGATTTTTTTAAGGCTCGATCTGTAAGTTAGCCCTGACTTTGATCAACCCAGAGATTGTTTTAGCGTATCGATAAAATTTTATTAGAAAGTCTTACCTACACTGTAAAAATGGACTGGTTGAAACGACCAATATTAATGGTTATAACCATTTAAAATTGGTTAGAACTACCAATGATAATTGGTTATTTTTGGTTCGTGGAAGCATACCAAAATCAAATGGTTGAAACTACCAATATTAATGGTCATTACCATTTCAAATTGGTTGAAACTACCAATGATAATTGGTTAGTTTTTGACCAGTGCAAATGTGAAAAACTATACCAAAATAAAATGGTTATAATAACCAATTGTTAATGGTATACTCATAAATACCCATTTTTATTGGTTAATATAACTATTTTACTAAATTGGTTGGAACTACCATTGATAATTGGTTAGTTTTTGACCAGTGTTAAAGTAACCAATTGAGAATGGTATGCTTATAAATACCCATTGTTATTGGTTGATTTATAATGGTAATTGAACTGAGTGGAGTGCAATTTGGTCTGAAATCAAACGCGCGATTTGTAATTTGCAAGTTTGATTTCAGACCAAAATTGCACGACACGAAGTTCAATTACCACTTTATTATATCCATTTTGAAATCTTTTTTTGAAAAAGACGTTTTTTTCCAGTTAAACCGACATGACTTACAATCTACAAGCAGTCGATTCAAACATGCTGTCAAGAGAACTTGTTTATACTGATCGAGCAATGATTCTCATTTTGAAAAACAACATTTTCAATCCAAAAAACTAAAATGAATTTATATAGGACCAAAAGGCATTACATGTATTAAGAATCATTTACTTACATTAAATAGCAAGACAATCCTGCCCAAAAGGGTTGTAATGAACTGGCTGTTGTCCATA